AATTTGGGGAAACTTATACAGGACAGTACATTTTTACCCTAATTCAACTTAAAACTTTACAAATAGAAATTATACAACTGAGCTGTTGATATTTGTGCAGCAATACCAACAAACATTGCAATATTTTGCTTCTAAATATACCTTGTTTCAGTTGAATAAAATAGAGCATGCCCTTGCGCCGAAGCATTTTTGTTGATGTCTATTATAATCTTGTGTAGTAAAGAACAATGACGTCATAATATGACGTCATAATGCGTACTGGCTATCTCATGTCGTGGGTACCAAGTATGTATTAGACAATAAGTTTTAACTTTCTCTGTATAATAGATATAGTCATTAGGCATTTTAATTAGTTTATTTGCATAGAAATGCCTAGACCTAGCCTTAACTCACCTGCGTAAGTAAGCAGGAATTCTTACGCAGCACAGTTAAGGCTGCAGTAAGGAGGCGGGGCCTAATTTTTACGGGAAATGCTTACTATGACATCACACAAATGTATATGTTCTTCAAATTGCCACAAAATGAAATGATTTGCTATTTTAAACTGTTGGATAGCTTTAAACTACATCAATACTTACTATTGCATGTATTTTTGTCGTTGGTTTAATCCCACAGAGCAATATATAAACAATTCACTGATCGCAATGCACTTGTCAATGTGACATCATATCGCAAAATTTGACGCAGTTTGTTTGCAGTGAGAGGCGGATCAAGTTATATTTTATACAATGAAAAATGTATTTTGTAAGTAAATAAAATATATTTGCAGATAAATGGACTTTTGCGAGAACACTGACTTTTACAGTTGACGGCTTACTTTGACATTTAAACCTGCGTTATGTACGGAGGTACGGAATTGATAATAGATAAGAAAACATAAATAATGGTTAAAGTTATGGTATTAGGGGTACTTATATCATTTACCAACACCAGAGATATTGGAGGAAGAATAAAATTACTTACAATGCCTTATTCATAAGAGATAGTATCTGCTTTTGTTTTCATTTTCTTCAGGAACTAGATAATGAAGAAAAAACATGGAAAACAAAGGAAAACTTAGCAGGAGTTGGTTACGTTTGGAAAGGGAGGGGGTTGTTTGTATGTCAGTTGCTTTTTCCTTCCTAGACAACGTAATATGAGCTTTGAAATGACCGATTATTATCGATTTAGTAAATGTTAAGCTAAATATTTATATTGCAAAAGAGCTTCCATATATTGTCCTGGTGTAAAAGTAAGTTGTCGATTGTAAAAGTCAGCGCTTCTCGCAAAAGTCCTATAAGAGGCCATTAACTTGGATGCGATGTATATTTTATGATTTTAATCATATACTTCCCGTACATTTCCTAGACAAGCGATACTGCCGTATATTTGTATGCAGATTCATTGAAGGGTAATAGAAGGGTCGTAATAAATCGATATATTGCAAGGGCATACCCTCAATGAATTATGACAAGCTTTTACACATAAACTCAAGAGGTATGAAGATATTTGAAAAGTGCTGCGAATCTGATGAAATCTTGCAAATGAATTAATTATATCTATATTTAATGTCTTGACCAGCAAAATATTCAGCATACGGTCTAACAAACGTAATTTTAGCAATTATATAGTAAAATCTTTATAGGTTCGCAGCACTTTTCACAAACTACAAAGAGTGTTGAAAATAATTATAAATTAAACTTAGATTTTCAACGTGGTTATACCCTTGCAATATTGGAATTTATAGATGACCTCAATACTGCAGGTATATTTGCTAAAATCACGTGACAAGTCTAGGTAAGAAATCTAATTGTCCCCAACATGTAGTTTTCAACCACATTACATTTGTCTGATAATAGTAAAGTCCTAAAAAGAATCGCCCATCCTTGTAAAGAATGTATTTTCTATATAAAAAATTCGCCGATATTTCCATTTGTCACCTTAATTGTACTGCGTAATTTTTTATCAAACTAGAAAAAGATATTAACATGAACATTTATTTCGCTATATATACAATTAGAGACAAACCAACATTTACAGATCGTGCTTATTAACCCAACAAAAGTTTCCTCTCAACTAGATTGTAACTTAAGAGAAGACTCGCAGACAAAAACGTAATTGAAAAATGCAAAGAAATCCAATAAAACAATACTGCATGTATACATGGTTATTTTTGTCCAATGTTATTTTCGCTATTTCAATTGCAATCAATTTTGCCCATTTTAACATTCACCATGTCACAGTTGTGAAATAGAGATAATGATGTCTAATTTAAACGGGGTGAAAAATTTCCATGCTACAATATGTTCATAAACTTTGTGGGGGGAACATAACAAAGTTTCAATTCCATTATTTTCTTTAGATATACATTATAATTTATAATTCAAGAGGAGTGTCCGCAGATTTTAACCTTTTATGCCAAGTGGAACAAAAACGTTTAGCGTCAGAGGAGTTTGCACCCTAAAATTCATTAAAAGCGAATTTGAATTTTTTTCATTAAAATGAAACGGTTTTTATAATATTTCCCTACAAAATTTGAAGAAGAAGAAATAAAATGTGGGGAGAGGACCAAACTAGGCTAGAAAACAAGCACTTAAAATACTGTCAACTTAAGTTTCCTTAAAACATTTAAGGAGATTCAGGAGCGTCCGGAGATAAATCCTCAATTAATTCTGAACACACTATTTGAACCATAGAGAATTATCAAGGTGTTTCTTAGTCCCTTTTTTTCAAATCATCTAAAATCATCCCTCATAATACAAAATAAATAAATTCCTTCTGATCCTTGTATATTGTTTTTAAATGATAATATATCCCACAAATCATTGATTGATGATCCTGTCCTTCACGATGACTTTATACTCAGATGAAAGCTCTGTGCCAAGACCAGTCAGCTTGTATTCAGGATTCGCTTTCTCGCCATCTGGGAGGCGAACTTCAAATCGCTGCAGCAGGTTTACACACATCAACAGTATTTCAGGCTTGGCGACCGTTTCTCCCAAACAAACTCTGCTGCCAGCTGAAAACGGAAGCCAACTATCGGGTCTGGCAGGTTTCTTTTTCCCATTTTCATCAAGGTAACGATATGGGTCAAATTTTTCTGGGTCTTTAAAGAACTTTGGGTCATTGTGAAGGGCCCAGTGGTTTATAAAGACCATGGTGCCTTTTGGAATGTCATATCCCCCTGTTCGTGAAAGTAATTGTATTTCATATTTGTTGTAATATCATAAATATTGAAAAATCTTTAAAAATAAATAAAAGAAATATTAACTGCATAAGGATTTTATCAATTTAATCAAAAACACAAAGTCTGAGTGAAAATCTTTAAACAAAAAACGATATCGTATATTATTATACAACATACCGACTTGTGAATCACAAATGGTCATGTGTGGGATACCAAGTCCTGCAACAGTTCCAAGTCTCGTACTTTCAAACAAGCAAGCTTCTGTGTAGTCCAACTTATTGCGGTCCTTCATTGATGGGTGTTTTGCTCCTTCAAAAAATTCAAATATAAATACAGCTATTAATTTTCAAGTTTTCTCATTTGTTTTGATTGTAAAGCCACATAAAATTTGTTTTCTTAATTAAATTTGTTTTTCTATTTTCAATTAATGTACGTTATAAATCAAATTACCAATGGCACTATCAATTTCCACCTGGCATTTGGATTGTATATCCGGAAATTTGGTCATGAAATATACAAACCAGTCCATTGTAAATCTGGTTGTATCCACGCCAGCTGTTGAAAAAATTCATCATAATCATTAGCTATCTTAAGGTATCTTAAAAGAAAGTTCAAAGAATTAAGATAGTAAATCTAAGATTTATCGTTGAAATATTTTAAAAATGATTATGACATAAAATGAAATAATGAAAAGGACGAAAAATTCATCCAGAATGTTCGTGAGTATTTTACATTTTTTTTTTCTTTTTTTTTTTTTTTTTTTTTTTTTTTTTTTTTTTGGCTTTGCTTTGCTTTGCAATTTTGAAAAATTATCAATTATCATTGCGTAGACTAGAGTAAAGAATTTGTGCAAATATACACAAAAGACAAAAAAATTCAAATGTAAACGGAGCACACTTCTTACCTAAAAATATATCTGATATCGTTTGAATTAAACGTGTATCGTCCAACTTCTCCAGAACAGATTCGTCTCCCTCATTTTCTGCCTCTTCTTTTGCCGCCAACAAACTGTCAATAAAATCCCTATTGACACCTTCAAACCATTAAGAAATATTATTCATACCAAAAATTTATTATTCTTTGTTACATATAAGAGCCTACATTTTTATTAATAATTGTATGGCAAAAAAATTTTATGGAAATTTTTCATCTCAAATTTTTGAAAGAGAATTAATTGGTATTTGTTCTCATTTTTCATTCAGAGGTTATTTCAAAGGTAGATATGCAAGCTTCTGCGAAAGTTGATGACCTGGTTTGTATGTATCTACGTGGTCTCTATATTTAGCTCTGATAAATTTTTCTAGTTGGTCTGCAACTTCAACAAAATTCTTCCATTTTGCAGTAGGGCAGATGTTTTTCAGACACGGTATTAAATCCTCCACGAATCCAGTACCAAAATCATCAATCAGGTTTTCTTCTAATTTAAGAAGTATTTTTACTTCCGGGTCATCAATAGGAAGTCTGTTAAAAGATTTATTTTGATTTCAATTCATTTTAATAACAGAAAAATGCAGATGATTTAATTCAAAAGGTGTTACACATTCAATTTTATGGTAGATTTAAGTGTCGCTGATTTACGAAATTCACTGAAAAATAGAACTTGTCTCCCAAAACCTACTTCTGCCCGAAACAAATAGTGTACAGTTGGTGGAAGACCATCATATCTGCGTATTCTTTAAATATGAATGGATATTTTTCCTGTGCCATTTTATTTAGGAATTTGTCCATGTTGTCTTGTATCATATTTTCAAGAAGATCCCCTTGTAAATAGTTTCTAAAATAAAGCAATTTTTATATCTCTCACATTTTTTCCAATGGTATTATGATTTAAAAGTTGGAGTTCAGGAAAATCCAAGTTTGTGTACCTATTTTGAATTCAACGTAAAAAGCCAAAGAAACATTACTCTCACCTTAGTCACTTTTTTAACATTATCAAATTTTTACCAAACGATTTGTGTTTTATATCCCCTTACTTTAGCCGAGAAGAAGAGGAAACGAATGAAGCTTTGCATTCTTTTTTAAACCAAATCTCACCAAAAGAGAGGCGTACGACAGGACCGTACACTTTTGACAACTCCGCAACTTTCTTGTGCATTTCAACAGAAGAGTAAACTGAAAGATGACAAAGTTTACAGAATGTGAACACTAATAAATGTAATATAAAGTATTTTTTTTTTCTTTACTGCACTAGATAAATTCCTGGAAAAAATCAAAATAAAATTCAAAATAATATGGAAAGAATTCTTACTTTGATAATGACCAATAAGTGGTATACACCAAGGTCCTGCCGGCAGACGATATCGCATTCGTTTGATGACGTAATATACAAAGAGACCTATACTCAGTGCTGCAAGCAAGGTTTGTGTGTTGACAGATAACTTAATCATGTTTCACTTTTTCTTTACTTTTGCCTCTCTCTGTATATAATGAAACAAAAAATATGAATATTGACTTTGTGACTATAATTCTATTAGATGATACTTGCTTGTGTATGAATTAATAGTATTAAAATGAGCTCATAACCGAAGACTTAATGGCTCTATTAATATCTGTAGGATATGGTGGATCTGTGAGATACCTCAAAGTATCAACCTATATCCAGCACTTAGCACACCTTGAAACTGGTCAAATGTAGCAGGACAATGAAAAACAGCAGCTCTATATAATATGATTCATTAATTTGACATTTTGGACAAAGCGATATTACATTTTTAGCAACAACATCCATTTATAAATGTTATTAAACACTCTTTCTAGGAATTATCTTTTTTTTTCAAAACAATAACGAATAGATCCGATGAAAAAAGAATAGATCCTTGTTGCGAGTGGGTATTCTGTCCGATTTTGGTAAAATGAGATATGAATTTGACTTAGATATTTTTTCTCAAAGAAATAGTATAAAATATCGTTACCTTTGATTCCATTCAGATGCTTTTAGAATCATTTTTCTTAACTTTACCTGATCATAATCAATAAAGCTTTTTAAAATGTTTCCAGTTTACGACAAACAATGCATAAAAGATTTAGCATTCTGATCCCTAAAGACCCCCTGATTATGTAACATGAGAAGGGGTATCACTGGCAGTAGTAAGAAATCTTTCAAATAAAAATTTCAGTTCAATGATGAATAAAAATATTGATCGCTAAAGAGCTATAGATAAAGGACTTCCCTTTGGGCTCCTAAAGTGAGGGATCGGCTACTTTATCTTGATATCAAATGAAAGGTCTCGAGATTTCGAAGATTTTTCGTTCTACACCTATATTCCACTTTTCCTGACATAAAGCGCCAAACATTGAGTATTCTGGCCCCTTAGGCCCCTAATTTTGCAATATATTATCAAAAACTTCTAAAGTTTCAGATTGTTTAGATCGGTAATATATATAAGCAGAATATTGCTTGTGAAAGAGTAAAAGATGAAAATCTGTTGGTCCCTTCTGAGCCCCTAAATTGAGGGGTCAGCACCTTTCTCTTGATATTAAATAAAAAAGAATGCCTCCATAAGGGATATTGAAAAAAAAAATCGAGTTAAACATGTACTTTTATAATGGCCTACAAGCGAGATGCAACATGGTCCTGGTGGCAAACAATATCTCATTCATTTGATGACGTAATACGTACACAGAGGCCAATGCTAAGACCAATGAGCACGGTCTGTTTATTCAGAAACAAAATGATCATAATGTTTTCTTTATCTCTTCTTTATCAGGCTGTAATTCAAAACAATTCGTTTTGTATATTTGGCTACATTTATGTCTCTTAATGTGCAAGGAAAAATGTTTGAAAATCTACCCCTTTAAGAAAAATAGTGCCACAGTGTAGCGAAATACAAGTTTAGGCATGAAGTGTTACGAGGTTTGTGTCTTAACAAGGAACAAGGTTTTTTGATTCGCTTGCCGTTGACAGTTCAAGCTCCACTCACTTATCTACGACGTGCTGTAAAAAAATGTTTTATGTTCTGAAATTGCAGCCCTGGGGAACCGTTGCACTGGAGGGGGTTAACCTCCATTCCCAATACAGTTATTTTGGTAATAAATATTATATGTACAAAAAAAAAAACGTTTTTGCTCCCTAAATAATACATGTAAATCTAGCGTCCGATTATGATATTTTTCTTGCTCCCAATGGTTCTCCAGGATTGCTATTTTAGACAATTAATACTGTCGATGTAAAATTAGGGATTTATGAATAAATATAATGTTGGTATGTTCAGAAGTGCAATATTTGTAACATAATTTTAAATGTGTATACCTTCGATGAGTACATTTTATGAATAAAGTCTTTAGGTGCAAAAGTGTTTTTCTTTGTAACAGAGTTTGTCACAATGCATAACTATTAAAACATTTCTACTGTTATTTGTTACAATAATTCTTTGTATGACTGGTGCTTAAACTTTCAACACAATCGTTATATCACTCCTTACGACACAAACTCTCATAGATTTCATGCATTAATAGAGCCTGTAAGCACTCAAACAAAATGGCGCGAGATTTGAATCTTATTTCAATGATGATCATCCATGACAAGGGTTGGGTCACGATAGTGAAAACGTTTTCATATATCACTTGTTTGAACCATATTCATCATATCACTTGGGCTAAACACGGGGACAATTTTTTCTTCGGATAATATGAGAATATTTTCAAAAATCTTCGTTTGTCTGTTTAATATTGTTTTCAAAAGCAGTTAAATAGCCTTTAAAAAATAGAAAAAAAAAATGGGGAAAAAAGTCCATATCCCGGAGTTCCAGGATTCTCGAAATCAACCCCCTTAATGCTCAGGTTATATAAAAACGGCTTTCACATTTAACAATCTGGAGAAATAATCTTTAGTGAAATAGTTTTTTTCTGAAAGAAATGACTATTATGATGATGCCTCATTGCTGAGTAGATTTGATAGTTTAAAACCGAGGGAAAATTCCGAAAGTTTTATTTTTGATAAATTATTCATGGTTCTTTTTCCGAATAAAGTAATCGGAGCGTTTAAGCCATTTACCCAACCAAGCTTATGCTTCTAGATTTTTTTTTCAGTGAACAAGGATGCAAGAGTTATTTCGCATGCACAGCAATTAAAAATATCAATAGCTGTGGTAAATGTGTAATCTTTTGATTTGGACAATGTTAAAGTACTATTGCATCAGCAAGATAATATTATCTGAAACTTACCAGTTTTTGGTTCTACATCAGATTCCTTATTTCATATACTTTAAAGTGATAGGAGACAAATACTTCTCTGTGAAATGTAAACATAGATTGGTTCTGGTCAGTCTCTACTATGGAATGCCGTAGCTACCTGAATTAAGGTCATCCTTAAATAAATAATTATATGTAACTTGAAATCATCATGTTTTTGTGTTTTCCGCAAAAAATACTCAATTTAACACATTTTGTACCCCTTATTGACTTATTTGATCAGTTTTTATTGTTTGTCCTGTGTAAATTTTCATAAACTTTTTAAAATTATCATCATTTTTGTTCTTTCCGCTGTTCTTAGCTATGGCTAAATTATTATATACAGTGGTTAAATTATTATATGCAGTGGCAATTTTTTTTATGCAGTGGTTATCTCATAATATGTGCAGAGTGTTTATTTCATAATATGAAATGCTTAAATCAATATATGCAGTGGTTATATCATAATATAATGTGGTTACGTCATTATATTTTATATGACATGATTTTATCATTTATATGCAGTGTACACATCATTATATGCAGTTGCTGCACCTTTATATACAGTTGCTGCATCATTATATGATTTGTTTGCAGCATTATATGATATGGTATGTGCAGTCTTTCCATTACCTTTGAGGGTAGTGAAATGCATTGCAATGTATCTGTAACCCAACATTACGTTTATAAGAATTTGGAATGTAAGCCAATTTAGCTGACTCTACCATAACTCTGTTAACTTTTATCTGTCTGAGCGTGCTATTTAGGTGTTATATTTCCTGTTTCGCATTTCCTTAGAATTGATATGTAGCAGTTAGAGTTATAGTTATTGTTAGATACTGAGTATAAGTTGTTAAACACTGTCATGTGATATTTCAAGTGGTCAAAGAAGAACAGTGACATTAAATCACATCCTTCAATTTGGCATTGATAATTATCAAGAGGCCGTGCTTGGCTTCTCTGTCTCTCCCTCTCTAAGATCTATTACCACCCATGTATATATATTTTTGCTGACATCAAGTACATGTAGCAATTTTTTGAAATTTGTAAACCAGCAAAAAATGGTCCCTTGAAGAAAACTTTTCAAATTGTATGGCTATAGGCATTTTTGGAACATATATTTTGAATTGTATTAATAATGCAAGTCAAATTTGGACAACACCATTTAGGGTTAAGTTTGTGGATTGTTCTCTGGAGTGGATACTTCATGGTAGTCAAAAGCACATGTGTCTAAATTTGTACACTAAAAGGAATAGACAGCCAAAATACAAACTTTAAAGTAAATCTAATAAGGGGACGGTTTCAAGATTGAAACCGCCAGCTAAATAGAATTTAATTTTGCATTCTCGCGAAATTTTATTGATTTTGTGTTCCTTTTATATCAAAAATATTTTACTGGAAATTGGGTTTGTTAGTTAATAGTTATACTGTTTTTAATACTGTGTTACACACTTGATGTTGTTTTGTAAAAGCTACAAAAAGGAAAACACTTCTACAACGACAGAGTAAAAAAAAATACTATTCATGTCCTATTATACATGTATTTCATACTACACAATTGTTTAAAAGTGGATATAGACTTGGAAAGGGGAACACAGCTAATTGTGCCACGTACGTGTAACATATGGTAGCACATACCATATGTTACAAGTATGTGAAACATATGTAACACATACGTGTATTCCAACCGCACGTTACACGTACGTGGTACAACGTATGGATAACATGCGTGTGACAACATACGTTTCACATAACGTACGTGAAACGTGCGGTTGGAATACACGTACGTGTTACGTACATTTCACGTATGTGTTACATTTGGTATTTGTTACCACACGTTACATGTACGTTTATAAACGCATGGTTTACATGTGTATTGTCAACCACACGTTACACATACGTTAATGAACACGTGGTTTACATACCTATTGTCAACCATACGTTACACATATGTTAATAAACGCACGGTTTACATGTGTATTATAAACCACACATTACACATATTTCACACACATGGTTTACATTTATTATCAACCACACGTTACACATACGGTAATATATGCAGGGTTTACATGTATTAAAAACCACACATTACATGTACGTTAATGACAAGTATGAGTGTTATCAGCTATGTAACATGTAGGTTAATAAAAATTGTTTTACATGTGTGTGAAAAGCTGGCTGTGTTTGAGAAGGCTGTTAACTTTCTATATTAATGGTACTTTTACATACATGTACAATAAATG